TTAGACAGGTAAGATGATGCGTTCAAGAACCTGTAGGTTAAGCAAATACAATACAAAGGATGTTTCAAGGTGATATTACCCAACGTGAAGTGGTCTGTGTTCAAACACAACACTGCAGTTCAAAATAAAAACAGTTGATTAATTAACATTTCTAGCTAACAAATACGTTTGTCAAAAGCGGCTACGTTTGCAAAAACATGGAAAAAAAGACGCTAAAAAATGCTGAAGAAAATCTATTGAGGCAACCTAATTTTTTTTTCTCAACCTAAAAACTCGTGGGCATTGCGATGGTAAATAAGTATGAAGAATTCCTTTGAAGTAATGTGAGAAAAACTTGTTGAAACAACTTAATTTTTATGCGCAATTAACTTAAAAACCTTTGTTTATCCAACCGATCGTTAAAAATACTGTTGATTGAAGAGCTAATTCTACCAACTCAAGGTAATTAGTTGGTTGAACATAATTTCATTAGAAGTTGTTGAAATATTTTTTACAGTGACCTGATGATCTGAATGTAAAACTACGTCTGTGTGTTCAGATCTGACTGAGTTATGACTCTGAGAAAAATCATTTTGCCGCTTCAGGGTGTTAAAGTTCGCCAACATCGTAACGTCGTCTGAGCACATTCATGCTGAGGAGGAAACAAAAAAAAAAAGAAAAAAGTGTTGTTTGAGGGCTGGAGCCTGGTGGTTAGCAAGCAGTCTGCGTAGCCTTAGGTCCTGCATGTATATATAGCACTCAGCCTCAATACTGATGACCCAAATCACACACACCACAGATAAATCATCCACTAGAGGCTGTGGCCGAATTCTAATCTGGGTCTTTAGAACATGTCATCCTTCTCTCGCTTCGTTTCATCGCTGCATTGTATCTGCCATCATAATGTATGCCGTGAATGAATGCATTAACTTCCCCCCGTTGCATATCTGCGCCGGCGTGTTGGTTTTGTCCCTTTTGTGCGAGCGTGGAGTCATTAGCAGCCCATTAGCTGCAGCGCGTTCCTTATCGTTAACACCTTGTTCACACCTGAATAGTCTATTATGCTCCGCTACGCCCAGGGCTTCATTTATAAACATTGTGTTTGCACAAAGGAAAGGCTTTAAAGACCCTCTTCTCGCAGGAAAATAGTTTTTTTTTTTAAAAACAAAAACCCAAACTTCAGTGGAAACTCTGAGCGAGCGCGCAGACATGTGGGAGACGCTGACGATGCCAGGGGCAGAGCAGCATCATAAATCCAAAGTGCTTTAATAACCTTCTTCACACAGTTTATTTCAGCCGGAGCAGGAGCACCGCTTTTTAAGAGGAACATTCAGTTCTAAACTGTGCCTTTTTTTTTTTTTAGTTTTTGTTTGTTTGCTTTTTGAAAACCTGGATTGAGATGACAAGTAGTCTGGATGAGGTGTGTAGCTCAGGACCGCTCTGGCCTCTTTACCTGCAGCTTCTTTCACCGGATCCTCTTTCCTCCCCTCAACCTACCTGGATAAGTTCTCACCTGGCAGCATCGTGTATTCAAATCATAAACGCTTAAATTCACTTTAATTCAGCCGGAGATGATTAGAGACTTTGATTACGAGTTTGACCAGCTGAATGTTTGCATGTTACTGAAGGATGAGTGGTTAATTATTCTCATTAGCTCTAGTGGTTAATTAGGCAGCATGCGTCATAGAGGAACACACAGTAGAATGAATTAGGATTATTTTGTGCATCACTGTTTAGTATGAGGTGCTCTTTTATGGAAAGCGGTTCCTCTGGCGGCATCCATAAAAATGTAAAACCCAGAAATGACTGTCTGACGGCCATCTTCACTTCATTCACGCTGTATAAATTCTAATGCTTTTCCCTTTTTTTTCTCCTCTTCTGTCCCTTGGATCCCTCCTCTCTGCATGCAACGCCTCATTGTATGTCGCCATACACAACCTCAACACTCGTAGACTCCTCCAGCTCCATTGTGACGGACATTAATGTGCATTTTAGTGCTACAGAAGTTAATACAAAGATGAAATTCTTTACCTTAGAGGATTTCTAAATGGTTAATATATTCACAGAAGATGGAAAACACCTTTTTAATTAATTCTGATCATTTAAGCCCCATGATCATCAGCGTTTTCTGAATCTTTCGTCGTCACCAAACACGGTCAATAAAAGCTGACTCAGAATAATTACGACTTTCCTTGTCGCTCATGGACGGCCAAAATTTAGCTCATTTCTTCTTCGTCGTAGCTTTTTTGCAGTTGACGCGCAGCTTCTTTTTTTCTTTCGGGCTTCTTCTGCTCTGTTTATCACAGTCATGTGTAACGTTGCCTCTACCGCCACCTTCTGACGGTAGCAGGTACTGGAAACAAAACTAATGCGACTTTTCTAAAGTGCGCTTCACATTTGAGTGACAGTTACATGAAAACACTGCCAACATCCGGCTATCTTGTCTTGCATCTTTTTGTTCTCTTTCATTACCTTTTGTAACAGAATTCATGCTTGTCACGTTGATTGCTGCACGTACGAACTTCGACGTCAAAACAACACCACAACCTTTCATACTCGTTCACGTCCGGCTGCAGTCTTCTCCTAAACGATACTCTTTGCTGCTGGGAAAAAACACATTTCTTTCACAGTATATTGCGTTAATGGAGGTCCGGACCATCTGGGAATCTGCTTCTGCATTAGTGGATCGTAGAGATGTCAGATCTGCTCAAAGCTTCAGGCCTCCAGCTGGTCTAGTTTGCATGTACAGCAGCATCGTTGTATGTGGAAGGATGCGCAACAATCCAAAACAGACACCAAAGTATAATCTAAGGCCGAACTCACACTACAGAAGTTTTAAAATCCTAACAGACTTTGAAATCCAGACAAGGAGAAACTTCTAAAAAATATTCAGACATGCACGCAGTAGAAGATTTAAAAACACTGGTGCATCACACACTACGGGATATTATTAAGATTACTGCACCACAGGGAGCAGAGCGCTGCCTCATGTGAGCTCATGGGGAAACCGATGTAAACCAAATGGAGACTGTGGTGCAAAAACTTGCTGTAAACGCTAATAAAACGTAGCAGTGAAAAAGACACACACACAAAAAAAAAGCCCAGAAGGCTAACAGAGTAAGTATGAGCAAATGTTTAGGAAGATGTGGTCATCTGTAGCTAGCGTCACCATGGCGAGCATTGCCTGGCAACAGCATCAGTTGCTCTGTGCGCTTATGTGATAATCAGACTCATCCCGGTTTTAACTGGACACGCTTCTCCTCTCGCATGCTAATTAATGACATTCACTCTCGCAAATACAAATCGCTATTAAACGTGGAAAAGCTGAAATGATTTGTGGGCATAAACAGGATCAACATACAGTTTATAACTAAAACAAACCACCTGTTGGAGGAATACATGAGAGAGAGGTCACGTGATTGGTTGCAACATATTTCTTATTTAATATTTAATCGGACTTATTCTTATCAAAAATAGCAGCATTCCCGTGGATGTTCTGTCCTAACTTGTAGTGTTTGGACTTTAGAACTTGAAATCCAATATAAGCTTTTCCATTTCTGTTGATTGATGTTGGTCCAAGCATCTGCATCCAGCAGCTGGACTGGTGTGGAGCGGCAGTCCGTGGGGAAATAGCTGTGAATACGGCTTCAAAAAGAGAGCGTCAAGTGCAGGTTAAGTGTTCTGTGTGTTGCCGTTTTTAACAACCAGGCACCACATGAAGCGTTCGAGACCATAAATGCGGGTAATGGGACAGATCCGCAGTACGAGGCAGCATCCAGCTGGATGATGGGTTTCCCTGAGTTGCAGATTCAGCTCCGAAGTTCAACGTTTGCCGGAGCGTCGGCGGCGTTAGTCGACCCACGTGAAATCAAAGCCGATCGGTTAACCGAGCGGAGAAGTGTTCTGGTCTCAGCATCAGCAGATATGAGCTGCTTTCTCTGGTGCCAGTGCAAAAGATTTGTTTTTCAGTCTGGAGGATTTAATTACCACTAAGCCTTCCAGCTGCACCAGTTACTAACAAGCCACAACACATACCGAACACCTCGGCTGCCAGCGACAAGAAAGAATTGGCGTTGATTTCGGTTCATTCAGTAACAAATAGACGCAGACAGAAGCTTAACCGAAGTGCTTCGGGGGGGATGTGAGAGCCGCCTTATTGACGTTTGGCAACCAGTCAGTGACGGATGGCAACCTGTAACCGTGACGACGCTGTGATGTGATGATGAGGATGTTTCACCATTTCTGAGTAAATCAATAAAAAAATAATTGAATAAATGGAAATAATTATTAGTTGGAGCCCTGTACAGCAGTTATGAAAGGAGAAGCAACTTTTTAATGATGCTCTTTATTTAATTTTCTTTCATTTGTGTTTGGTCAGTGCATGAAAACACTAAAAATTGAGTTTTTTATGTCATCTTAAGAAATTTTATTGTGGTCTTCCCAAATTTTTCAAACTGTTCTACCAAAAAACACATCAGAAATATAATTTTTTCCCACTTTGAACAGGAAATTTTATCTGTTTAGCCAATTAAAGGGAAGAAAATGGCATAAATATGTCAATTTTTAAGCAAAAATGCCCATAATTTGTTGGTTCCAGCTTCTCTGGTGTCAGGATTTATCAATTGTGCGTGAATATTTTTAGATATTTGACAGTTTTTCAAACACAAAAACTTATCCTAATGTTTTCTGGAGAATGTTTATATTCATTTTTCACTATTTTCAAATGTTTAACTATTATTCTGTCACTGCTACTCCTACTTTACTACATTTCCGGTCATGCTTTGTGCAGTTTAAACGCTTTACGGTGCACATCCAACCTGCCTTTACAAATGAGTTTTAAAACTACTTTCACCTAAATTCCCCTCCATTGCTGATTACAGGCATTTTGTGTTTGTGTGTCCGTAAACTGTGTCGCCCTCCCCTCCTTTGTGACGACGCTCCTCCTGTCCATCTCCTCTGCACATCATCGAATGCAGCAGAAACATTATAAGACATGCTGCTGTGTTATCTGTTCCTCCCAGGTCTCCCTTTGCTGCAGTGGCAGACTACTCAGTAACCCGAAATAATGTCATTCAGCTCTGCCTGGAGCTCACCACCATTGTACAGCAGGTGTGTGCAATTGTTTGCGAGTGTGTGTGTGTGTGTGTGTGTGTGTGTGTTTTGAAGGCTGATAGCTCTTATTCTCCTCCACTTGAAGTGCGAGGCAGAGGGGAGCTGCCGTGGGTTGTCATATCCCCCTAAGAGCCAGTGTGTGTGGGTGTGATGCAGCAGCCTCAGACTCTGCATCCTCCATTCTTTTGCTATTTATGTCCTTTACAGTCTGTCTTTTTTTTTTTTTTTTGCGTGACTGATGTGTGTGTAAATAAAAGATAAGTGTGTCTGTTTGTGTGGGCGTGTTTTTTTTTTTTTTTAAATCTGTGAGGGGGGTTTAGAGCGTGCAGGTGGTTGGAGGGGTGGAGGGCTTTCGGTAATGTGAGGCCGAGACAGTGTACAGAGGTACTGTAGCAGCGTGAGCGGCATGAGATGCTGAGTGTTTGCAAGACAGGATGTTCTGCTCGCGCTACATTAAATTTCTCTCGTCCCCCAGGACTGTACGGTGTTTGAGACGGAGAACAAAATCCTTCATGTGGTGAGTTCGGCTTTCTCAGCCAGCTGTCCCTTATTTGCTCTGTGTTGATGTGCAGCATCCTGGTTTTTTTTCTTTTCCCCACATTCCCCCACTGATGAAATACTCCACAAGCACACAGGAGCTTCAGTGGTTCAGAACTGCTTCTAGGAAATGCTTGGAAATGACGCTTGTCTTCTCTTTTTTTTTTTATACCAAGAAGACAAAAACCACAGCTGCAGCCCAGAGGTGATTAGCTTAGCTTAGCATAAAGACGAAGCAGGGGGAAACAGCTAGCCTGGCTCTAGCTAAAGCTTAAAAATACACTAAACAGGGTAAACTGTTTGAGCTTTAGCTAGAGCCAGGCTAGCTGTTTCCTCCTTCTTCCAGTCTTTATGCTAAGCTAAGCTAAATGCCTCCAGGCCATAGCTTAGCTTAGCATAAAGACTGGAAGTGGAGGGAAACAGCTAGCCTGGCTCTAGCTAAAGCTTAGAAATACACTTAGCAGGATAAACTGTTTGAGTCTAGCTAGAGCCAGGCTAGCTGTTTCCCCCTGCTTCCAGTCTTTATGCTAAGCTAAGTTAATCGCCTCCGGGCTACAAATCTTTTACTTAGTAGTTACTTCACAGATTCGAATTAATAATATGTAGAAATAAGCTAATAAATTAATTATCATAAATTGTATAACAGTCACACTTTCGGCTGAGCTGCAGGCTGTGTAAACGCAAAAGTACCTGAATTTTTGTCATGTGACTGTTGGTTGCAGCTGAGCCGCGAACAGCTTCCCGATTGCACAAAGAAATGCAGAATTTTTAGTTTTTTTCAAAATCTGGTGACTGCAAACTGTTTATTTTTGACAATTTTTTAAAAATAAGATGATGTTAAGCTCAGGTTTGGTCAAGTTTTCCAACACGATACATAAGAAAAGTTCAAGGACTATAGGAAAGCTGAAAATCCAAGAATCTTCTTGTATTTGCAGTTTCTGGCTCTCATTAGAAGTGTAATTTTTACAATTGAAAAACAACAAAAAAAGATAACACACCTTTTAAGTCCCACCAGCAGGTTTTGGGGCTTAAAAGGTTGAGTCGGTTCTTAAATCTGACATGAAAAGCTATTGAAAACGTGTTGGAACCATTTCAGTTATTGTGCTTTTTTTAACATGTACACGATAGAGACTGAATTCAAAGCTTACCTTCCTAGTTGGTAGCACTATTTTTATCATTATGTTACGAAACAAACAGGATTTTATGCATCTTTAATGACACACAGCAGGTTTTCCTGGTGAATACGCTCTTTAAACTACAAGAGAAGAGTCTCTGTGGAGGTTAAACTCTCAGAGCATGTTTGGTAACATGTAGCTTTAAATAGCTAATCGGCTAAACTAGTTTAAGAAAATGTCAGTATTTACATTAACATAGCAAGAAAAGAGGAACAATGGAGGTGAATGAAGGTTTCTTTATGTTGCTCTCAGCATTAAAAAAATTACATTTCAAAAGCATACGTCTGGAAAACAACTTCCTGTTTGCCAGCGGCTCCCAAAACTCCGACGGCAGCTAAACTTCGATTGACCTTTTTCACAGCAGACGTTTTGATTTGTCAAACGCAGGTGTGACGAATGGCGTCGCTAATCGCTGGAACAGAGCCATCGTTAGCGCCATTAGTCTCAGCCGGGCTTCCCTTGTTCTGACAAATCGACATGTCTGCTGTGAAGAAGCCTCTTTAGTCTGATTCGTTGGAGGGTAATCAAGAAACAAGAGCGCTCTGATGCCAGAGAGGCAGCGAAAATGACACCAAAAGTACGAGATGGATGCACTTTTTTTTTTACGGGTCGGACGGTTCTGGAGCAAAAGTTCACTGTCGGTGCAGCGGGAAGCTTTTTTGTGTCTTTTAAATGCTCTTGAAAAAAAGTTGGGAGCCTCTGCTGCGGATTATCCAACAACACAGTCAGCACTTTTTATTCCAGCTACTCTCTACCAGGCAAATGATCCCTGAAACCGTCGACAGCGTGTTGAATGGAGTCTTATTGTGTCTGCCAAGAAAGAAATGCTACTCCTAAATTTGTAATTTTTCACTGCTGTGGGCACCGAAATTAAATTCACCTCCATTCTGTTTGGCTGGAAACAATTAATTAACAGGAGAAATAAAGCCAAAACTATCTTGCGTGAACTTGCCCTGTTGTGGCCCAAAAATGAAACTTCAATCTGACTCGAAATCAAACTTCCGCGGATGCACCACAGGGATTTAATGTGCTCGGGCGATTGAAGTTGGTTTATTTAGTTGTTGCAAGCAAGCAAATGGAAAAAAACAATGAGATCATGAGTCATGGTGCCCACTGTGTCACCCAAAAATAAAACTTATTGAAATCTAAATAAATCTAAACACAAGCAAATACCTTTAAAATGTCAAGAAGCACCACCGACAGGTTCAACTTGGGTTAATATGGTAGGAAAACAAAAAAAATCTGCAGCAAGAAACACTCAGATGTTTATTTTGCTCAGTGAAGCCAAAGACAAGATGCAGCTTTTGCAGCAGGAGGCAAAGCGGTTTGTTCAGAAGTATAGTCTAATTTAGTTCTTTGTTCTCTTAATAAGAGCCCTGTTTGCCCTCCCTGTTGTTTCCTCCTGCGTCTCTGCAGTGCAAGACTCTGTCGGAGGTGTGCGAGCACATTGTCTGCGTGTCGTCGGACCCGCTGGTTTCTCAGTCGGCCCACCTCGAGCTGGTTCACCTCACCAACATCAAAACCTCCGAAGGCCTGGTAATGACTCTGTTCGCCTCGCTGGGTTTGTTAAAGCCTGTGTGAATGTGGATGTGTGACATATTGTGTGAGCTCAGACAGATATAAAACAAACACTATAGCCCACATTAAAGACTAAAAGACGCCGCCTTCCCTTTTAAACCTAACTATCCTGTGTAACATAATGATGTCTGCATTTGATTGACTGTCATGGAAAAAAACAACAAGTTGCTCATAGAGTCGTACTTTAACAACAGTTCACTAATTAAAAAGTAAAATTTGATTTTGGTTCAAAACTTTTCAAACTCCTACTTGAAATAAAGCATTCAGTTTTGCATTTTATTGCCATTTCTGTGCCGTTGGGCCTTTTTGTGTGTCGACAAATCAGGTCCCCAGGGTGCCCTGTTATAACTGGCACCAACAGCAGATAGTTTAAGTCTATAGAGTTGGAGCTGGCACACATCATCTGGTCATAGTGTTTGGTTGTGATCAGAGTTGCTCAGATCTGCCCACATTCCCCCACATGTTGGGTCCAAGAATCAACTGTTCACTTCCTGTCCAACACATCCCAGACATGGACATGTGCCGTTGTTACGTGATCATCAACGTCATACCAGTGACATGGTTGGACATACAATTCAAGAGTTTGGAAAAATGCTCTTATCATCTTGTTAAAGGCCTCATCGAACTCTGTAGATGTTCAAGGAATCCTTTCGTTCTTGACGAGTTGCAGGAGGAAATCTGTAACAACTAAATTCAGAAAAGAGGTTTATGGAAGAACCTCTAAAGGGGTTCCTGGAAACTATTTCAGTAGAGTTATGTGTAGACCTAACTGACACTTTACACCTGTATTTACCCTTTGTTTTATTTTATATTTCTAACTGTGTCCATTGCAATATCACATCATGTCTATAATGTAATCTGGTTGGTTCAGTTTATAACACAGTAATAACAAGGGTGACGGCAAAATGCTTAATTTTAGTGTAAATATAAAAAATGTGAGTTTTTTTTCATCAGTAACAATCAAAAAACATACGAAGAAATTATTATAGGTTGTAGTTTTTTGGCAACAATGAAGGAGATTTGTTAGTTTTGCACATTTGGGCCAATTGAAATCTTGTTTGGCTTTCTGTCGACAGATTTGTGTCCCTGTTTGTCTAAAAAATCTAATTTTTGCAGATTGTTTGTCATAAATGAAAACATAATAATGGGAAAACGGTACCCCAAACCCCACAAAACATGCTTCAGGAACCTTTCCTGAAGGAACCATTTTGAACTCTAAAGGTTTCTCTGCAATGGCAATGCTGAGGAATCCCAACAGATTCTTCTACTTAGTGAGTGCATGTAATCAGAAAAACACGTAAACAACCTAAATGATGAAATAGGCAAAGACACGTAGACTCAGGACCAAAGGTTTGTTTGCATTGTCGTTCTGAACAGTCAATACTTCCCCCTGTTGATACTCGAAGTCTTAACACACTGGAAGGATTTTTACCAAAAGCCCTTTTTCAGCGACCTAAACCTACTTCGAACGAGACAATAAAGAGAAGAGAAATAACGGTCTGTCATAACTTTTAAGACATGGAGGTCAGTCAGTTCAGAAAATTTCAAGATCTTTGAAAGTTTCTTCAAGTTCAGTCGCAAACACTGTCAAAAGCTGTCATGAAGCGGGCTCTCATGAGGACCGCCCCGGGAAAAGAAGACCAAGAGTTCTCCGAGTTTAGGCAGCAGACACATTTCACCATCAACTGTTGGGAGTAAATTAGAGATTCGAGGCGAAGCTGCTGCCAAGAAACCACTACGGGGAAACAAAAGGACATCAGACCAGTGAGAATCCAGACTTTAGTGGGATAATTATTTGTTTTTCAGTAGCTCAAAGACCAGAAACTCACCACCAGGCAAAATACTTCCCCTACTCCGCACTTAACCTTCTTTTCTGTCCTCCTCTCCATCAGGGAATGTACATCAAGTCCACCTACGACGGCCTCCACGTGATCACAGGAACCACTGAAGGGGTGAGAGGCTCGTAATCCTGTTTTTCACACGTTCGCATAGCGAGCTGCAGCTGGCACTTTGCTTTATCGGCGGCTTTCCCACCGCACCCGGAGGTGCAGAAATCCAATTCATGCTCAGAATATCTGCAAATCTGACATTTGTATCCATAACAACATATCAGATTCCGTATGGATGACTCTGCAAAGCTTACCCCCCACCTCCCCTCATCCTGCTACACTGAAGCCTATTTAAGTACACTTTGTTGTGAAACTTGCTCGCCGTGGCATGCAGGGATCAATAAGTTCAGATCAATTCATAGCCGTCTGTTTTCCTTCTCTCTCTGTCTTGTGTTTCGCTGTAGTCTCCGGCTGACCGCTGTAAGAAGATCCATGCAGGGGATGAAGTCATTCAAGTCAATCATCAGACTGTGGTGGGTTTCTTGTTGTCTGTGTGTGTGCTGCTGTTGTGTTCTAAATATACGTTTTTGTGTTTATTTGAGTGTTTTTCTGTTCTGATACTCTGAAAAAGATAAAAAAAAAAAAGCATATTAAAGGACCATTCCAGCTCTTTTGATCCATTGTCTACACAGATAACTGAATAATTTGCTCTGCTTGTATGTTTCTTACTTGATCCTAATTGAATATGTGCCTCTTTGTGTGGCTTTACAGACATAAACAAACCTTTACAGCTGCTGTAATCAATATTTTTATAATGCTGGTGGATCAAATTTAAAGGTGTAACAATAAAAGGGGTCACCGTCAATGATAAATCCACAAATATTTAGCTCATAAACAGCTCTAAAAGCATATTATAGCATTTTTCAGCTCATTGTTTTAGTTTTTCTGCAACTTTATTGTTTTGATTCAGGTTGTTTTTGGTCGCAATATGCAGCAGCGTTCAGCAAAAAGGCCATATTAAAGTAATTATTTACGACCTGCTTGGCGCCACACAGGAACCAGATGAGGTTAGCTGATGTTTTGGGAAGAAAGGTTAGCATTTAAAAAGACAGATAATTGTATTAGGAGATGGTGGAGACCAAAAACAGAGCTAAAATAAGAGCAAAAGTCATCATACTTTTTTTTTTTTTTTTTTTGAGGCAGAAAAGCTTTTATTATGAGGAAAGAGTCATATAAGTAGTAACTTTACACTAATATTTAGTTGCTATCTAGTGTTAGTAAAATGTACTATGCATCTGTGTGAAGCCCACTTGGTGTTATTTAGTCCGTAAAGCAAGTCCCAGTTCTGTTTTGTGATTTGTGGTTGGCCGGCCTCCAGTTTATATCTGTAATGCAGACCGTGCCCTTCATTTACAAGGTGCATATGCATGCAGCATGCATTGCAATTAGCGTGATCAGGTCCTCCAACCTTCTCTGCACCTCCTCTTGCATTATGATCAGATCTCAGGTCAGTCCTGTAAATGCAAATCAGACGAGGCCTTCAGGAAGATAAATGCCACATCCCAGCGACCCGTTTTATTTTTGTTTACAATATGTTTCTGAATCTCCTACAAACAAAGCGTGTTGGCTGGCTTTTCTAGAAATAGTAGGTAAGAAAAAAACGATATGTAATATGCATTTGTTTTCAAATTGAGGGCAGGTTATATCACACAAAAGCTCTATAGATAGACTCACCACCTCCACACCCACTTGCCTTGCACAGAAGGCTCAACAAGCGAGATCCAATCACGACGTGGACGGAATTCAAACTTGAGGCTGCATGTAAATGTTACTTAGCGGAGTTTAAATCAGGCTGTTGCGTGATGATATCCTCCTGCAGGCTGCTGTGTTCTCAGACTGTCCGTCCTCTGTCGTCCGCAGGTGGGCTGGCAGTTACGTAACCTGGTCGGCTCGCTGAGGGCAGATAAAGGCGTCGTGTCCCTGACCCTGAAGAAGCGTCCGCAGAGCACGCTCAGCTCCGCCCCTGCACTGCTGAAGAACATGCGCTGGAAACCCCTGGCTCTGCAGGTGGGACCGGCTCTACCTTTTATAGACTTTATTAAGGCACTGCGTTGGCCCACATAATTCCCCACAGCATTCCCTCTTCCTCCCGTACGGCCGCAGTCAAAGCGTATAATTAGGTCAGGGAGCTGTGACTGGCTTTGTTTGCCGGCTGAAACGCACTGGAAAGAATGGGAAGAGAAAACCGATGCCACCCTCCACCCACATTCCCAGCGCGCCGGCGATTATGAAATTTATCTCCCTAATTATCGCTGATTATCTGCACAATCGAGGG